TCTTTACAATTTGGCATGTTTTTCCAGTGGCTGGTACTGGTCGTTCCTTTCCATGTTTAGTGCTTCCTTCAGGAGCTCTTGTAGGGCAGGCCTGGTGGTGACAAAATCTCTCAGCATTTGCTTGTCTGTAAAGGATTTTATTTCTCCTTCGCTTATGAAGCTTAGTTTGGCTGGATATGAAATTCTGGACTGAAAATTCTTTTCTTTAAGAATGTTGAGTATTGGCCTCCACTCTCTTCTGGCTTGTAGAGTTTCTCCAAGAGATCTGCTGTTAGTCTGATGGGCTTTCCTTTGTGGGTAACCCGACCTTTCTCTCTGACTGCCCTTAACATTTTTTCCTTCATTTCAAACTTGGTGAATCTGACAATTATGCATCTTGGGGTTGCTCTTCTCGAGGAGTATCTTTGTGGTGGTCTCTGTATATCCTGAATTTGAATGGTGGCCTGTCTTGCTAGGTTGGGGAAGTTCTCTTGGATAATATCCTGAAGAGTGTTTTCCATCTTGGTTCCATTCTCCCTGTCACTTTCAGGTACACCAATCAAACGTAGATTTGGTCTTTTACATAGTCCCATATTTCTTGGAGGCTTTGTTCATTTCTTTTTACTCTTTTTTCTCTAAACTTCTCTTCTCACTTTATTTCACTAATTTTTCTTCAATCACTGATACCCTTTCTTCCACTTGATGGAATCGGCTATTGAAGCTTGTGCCTGTGTCGCATAGTTCTCATGTCATGGTTTTCAGCTCCATCAGGTCATTTGGTCTTCTCTACACTTTTTTCTAGTTAGCCATTTGTCTAATTTTTTTTCAAGGTTTTTAGCTTCTTTGCGGTGGGTTCGAGCATCTTCCTTTAGCTCAGAGAAGTTTGCTATTACCGACCTTCTGAAGCCTACTTCTGTCAGGTCGTCAAAGTCATTCTCTGTCCAGGTTTATTCCATTGCTGGTGAGGAGCTGTGATCCTTTGGAGTAGAAGAGGCACTCTGGTTTTTAGAATTTTCAGCTTTTCTGCTCTGGTTTCTTCCCATCTTTGTGGTTTTATCTACCTTTGGTCTTTGATGTTGATGACCTACAGATGGAGTTTTCGTGTGGATGCCTTTTTGTTGATGTTGATTCTATTCCTTTCTGTTTGTTAGTTTTCCTTCTAACAGTCAGGTCCCTCAGCTGCAGGTCTGTTGGAGTTTGTTGGAGGTCCACTGCAGACCCTGTTTGCCTGGGTATCACCGGCGGAGGCTGCAGAACAGAAAATATTGCTGCCTGATCCTTCCTCTGGAAGTTTCATCTCAGAGGGACACCCGCCTGTATGAGGTGTCAGTTAGTTGCTACTGGGAGGTGTCTCCCAGTTAGACCACATGGGGGTCAGGGACCCACTTGAGGAGGCAGTCTGTCCGTTCTCCGAGCTCAAACACCATGGATGGAGAACCACTGCTGTCTTCAGAGCTGTCAGACAGGGACGTTCAAGTCTACAGAAGTTTCTGCTGCCTTTTGTTCAGCTATGCCCTGCCCCCAGAGGTGCAGTCTACAAAGGCAGCAGATCTTGCTGAGCTGTGGTGGGCTCCACCCAGTTTGAGCTTCCCCGACTGCTTTGTTTACCTACTCAAGCCTCAGCAATGGCGGACGCCCCTCCTGCTGCCAGGCTGCTGCCTCACAGATCGTTCTCAGAGTTCCGCACTAGTAGTGAGCAAGGCTCTGTGGGCGTGGGACCCGCCGAGCCAGGTGCAGGACATAATCTCCTGGTGTGCCATTTGCTAAGACTGTTGGAAAAGCGCAGAATTTGGGCAGGAGTGTCCCGTTTTTCCAGGTACCGTCTGTCAAGGCTTCCCTTGGATAGAAAAGGGAAATCTCCCCAACCCCTGTGCTTCCCAGGTGAGGCGATGCCCTGCCCTGCTTCAGCTCACCCTCCGTGGGCTGCACCCACTGTCCAACCAGTGCCAGTGAGATGAACCAGGTATCTCAATGGGAAATGCAGAAATCACCTGTCTTCTGTGTCGGGCACGCTGGGAGCTCCAGCCTGGAGCTGTTCCTATTCGACCCTCTTGCAACAGAATAGCCTAAAATCAGTATATTTAAGATGGCATGCTAAATAGGTGCATTGGAGTTACATGTGTTAACATGGATGAATCTCATAAAACAATACTATATACTGTTTAGGGATACATATAAATTTATTTTTTAAAGAATAGGAATGATACATTCAGCAAAATAGTTAACCGTAGGATAGAAGGAGATTTGGTTGGGATAGGCTACACAGAAGCTTTCAATTTTAATGGTAATATTTTTTTTAAGTTCAGTGGTGGATAGATGGGATGATGGCATATATGTCTGAATGATTTCCAGCACTTTTTAAACTGTTTTTAAACATTTGTCAGTTTGAGTTCTTTGGCTTCACTCTAATTTACCATTGGCCCCACCACTTAACCACTGGGATTTCAACATTGTGTTAGCTGCCTGGCTCCTATAAGCAACTGCATTTGTGACCTTAATTTAGAAGTTAAGTAAGTGCTTGGTTTACTTTGTTTTTTTACAGTTAATTTATTGTTGAACTATAGCATATATACTGAAAAGTACACAGGGCACAGCCTGATGAATTTTTTATAAAGTAAATATAGCAATGTGATCAGCACTCAGATCAAGAAACAGAACATCCCCAACACCCAGTACCCTCTTCCAGTAACTGTCACCCACAAGGCCAATTAACCATCCTGATTTCTAATACCCCATTCAAATTTTAACAGTTGCTGAAAATGTCCAGTAGCTACAGTGAAATAGATGTTTGCACTCTACAGATAGGAAACAAGATATTGAGAGATGGAACAGTTGATTTAAATAAAATTTTGGATGAAAATTTTCCTTATTTAGGGGTAGGTTCAGTAACGTTAATTGTTGTGTGTGAAGCGTTCGGGGATAAGAGGAAGCAAATGTGGAAAAATGCATAATTTGGAGATTTATGAGTGTATATTAAATGATTTTGTCCTCTAAAATGGTAATTTTCTTTAAAGAGAGACTTGTGAGTATTGTCTTTGTGAATTAGTTTTAAGATATAATTCAACATGTAAGAATTCCATCAACTTTTGTCATTTTGTGTCAGTGAAACACAAGACTCTATGCCTGTTCCCCCCTCCTGCATTCTTCTGGTCTGATATGTCTGCTTCTTGTACATTGACAGTTCTAATTATACACATTCAGAAGGGTTTTGAATGCCAGGTACCACAATTCAAATATATTAGTCACAAATTTTTGAATTATATTAGCCACAAAATTCATGAGTCATGTCCATTTGGAGGCCGATAAGCACTAGAAACCAAATGAGTTATCTCAGCACATTTAAATGGTTACAGAGTCTGCATTATTTTTTGCATGATTAAACTTGGGATTGCTTTTTGCAAGTTTTAAGGATTCTCTGGAATTTTTTTTTTTTTTTTTTTACAACTTGACCTCTTTTCCCCCTTCTGGAATATATAAATATGTGTAAATATATATGTTTAAATATCTTTTTTTTTCATTTTTTTCTTATTTTTGCTTTTCCTCTAGATAAAAGTTAAACAGCTAGAAGAACAAGTACAGTCTTTTACTGACACCAGCTTACAGAATGATCATCTACGCAAGATGAATAAGTCTCTACAGACTAAATATGCTCAGGTATGATTAATCTCTACAAAAGCAGATTGCTGCTATATTTCATTTTTAAGAAATTGTTTGATGTCTTTTTCCCCACTTTACCATAGAATCCCAGAAAGATAAATATCCTGTCACTTGACTCAATTTAACAAACTTTTTTTCAAGCACCTAGTACATACAAGGTTCTGGTAAGCCTCAGAAATTGTAAAGATACCTGAAGCAGGATTGAGATATTCAACTTGCTTATTATAGTTAGGAAATGTACTCCATAAACTTTATTATGAATAGAAAGTTATGCTTTTCAGAAAAATAGATTGTATTACTGAACATTCATAGGGAGCATGATTATCAGTAGAAGCAGTGAGAAATGCTTTCATAAAGGCAGTGCTTTTTGAACTTGAGCCTTACAAATTTTGGCAGTTGTGAGGAACAAGTATCCTTGTTTTTTTGAATTAAAGGCAAACTCAGAACTCAGTGCCAAGAGGGTACACCTGCAACAAGCAGATGCTCATCTGAGAGAGGTATTGGTAATGAAAGTGCTTACTTGTCAGCATGGTGGCTCTTGAGGCTAAAAGCCTTTCATAGGTCACATAATATTTTAACAAATGAATAGAAAAAGTTAAGCAAGATAACAAAAACATTTAGTGAAGAACATACCTCAGGAAGGTGTTACCAGAAGAAAGTGACTCATTTCAATTATTTACAAATTTAGCATGCATATCATTAGGTTATTTTTTAAATTGTTAACTCTTAATAAAAGCATATTAACTTCTGTGTCTATGATGTTTGTGTATCTATACTCCTGGTAACCAAGGAACTAAAATATGTTTTCAAATGGAATACTCATAGGGTTCTAACCACTTGACTCTGCTGATGAGTGATGAGGTCACAGAGTTGTTAAAGGGCCTCATTAGATGCGCTCTCTAACAGGGGCTCACTGACAGGGAAGTTGGTGTAAGGTCTGTTTCTTTGCTGGGTCATATTTTACAGTGTGATCTTTTCACTCTGAAAGCGGAGAAACACATTTTCAAATATATTTTCCATTACGGCTCCTTCTAGAACACTGTTTGTGTTGTTTCTCCTAGTAAAGTGGCTATTCCTTGAAAAATAACTATAGGTTTAGCTGATTTTATTGTTTTTATTAATAATTGATGATGCCTTTAAGAAAAAGAAAATCTCCAGAGAGGCCTGCATCTTCAAAATCCCCTGAAATCTCTAGGTCCCATGTAAACAGTATAAAGGAGAGAACGTCATCAGTTGGGTTGCCTAGTGTTATTCCAAACTCTACACGCCGTGTGAGCTTTGCACCTAACCTACCTTCTGTGAAAACATCTCAGGATATTGGAGACTCTAGGATCTCTCTAAAGACTCTTTTGAATGCTATTAAAACCATGGAGGGAAGACTGGAAGGCAAAATAGAGATTCTTGCCTCAAGACCTTTAGTAAATGATGAATCACCAAATTTTCTTAAACGGGACTCGGTAAGTGAAGACCACAAATTAAATCTTCAGGAAATTTTAAATGTATACAAGAATGAAGTATTAATCCAGAAAGATAATGCTTGAAGATATGAGTAACTAGGAAATAAGGTTCTTCACAAACAGAAAAAAGACTAATATAGATTGAAACCATTATCCTAGCCATCACATAATTAGTTTTAGACATAGAAAATTTGACATAACAGTAACTACTGAGTTTTTTATATAATTTTGATTTTTTTAAAAATGTCAAAATTTCTACCTAATCTTAACATTTGAGCTAAAATGCTTGGATAAAGCCTCATTTTCAAATAGAAGTAAATTAATTCAAGAAACCCCAAGAAATTTAACATTGGAAAATATTTTCTTGAGAAAACTTATTAGAGCATTCTTCTTTATCTGATATTTAGAAATAGAAAATACTGTAGCTTATCTTCTAGAGTGGGCCACTATTACCGGAAGGAGGGCTGTGAGTGTGAGTTGTCCAGGTCCTTGGCGTTTTGAACAAAGAATTGAACAAAACGCACAAAGTGACGAAGGAAGCAGTGAAAGCAGGGATTAAAGCGATGAAAACTCCATAGGGTGTGGAGTTTTCTGGGTTTCAAGTTTACGAAGTTTTCTGGGTTTTAAGTACGCCTTTTGAGGTCCCTATGGATTTGGCCTGTGGCTAATTAAAGGCTGAGGTGAACCGACGCCCTATGCTGATGAAGGGATGGCCCATGCTCGGCCTGTGGCCAATCCAAGGCACTCTGCCTTTCCATCTGAGACATGGTGGAAGCGGGAGGAGTGTAGGGAGAGTAGTAGCCTTTGATCCTTTGCTACTTGCTGGGGAGATGGAGTTTTTCCTTTTGGTGTAGCTTTTGGAAGTTGGTGTTAATTGGACTTAGGTTCCCTGTCCCCAGACCCAGGTGTTTTCTTTTGATCCAGCTTTGGGAAGTCAACAAAAATTGGCCTCACTTTCGCTGTCCCCAGACCTTGGTGTTTTTCCTTGATTCAGCTTTAGGAAATCAGCATGAATTGGCTTTAAGTTCCCTGCCTCCAAACCCTACTCTCCTGCCTCACTACTATTTAGATGTCCTCTGTAAACATCTAGTGGCACTTTTGCATTTGTATGTGTGTGTATATACATACTGATAAATATACACTTAAAAAACTGGTAGAATTTTAAAAATGATATTCTTGTATACTTTTCTAGAACAAAATTCAGTAGATTATCAGGACCTATAAGTTGCCATCCTTTGCACTTTTCTGGGATCCTTTTCTGTAGAAAAAGTTAAGTATTTTAAATGTTACAGGTTCAAGTTTAAGGATGTTTTATGATGTTGAGGTAGATGTGGGGAAAAGACATCCTCCTTTGTTATTATTGGGATTATGAAACAGTACAACTTCCTATGGAGGGCAATTTAGCAATATTCATCACAACTTTGACCCCACAGTTGTCCTTCTAGGACTTTTTCCTACCAATATACTGGCTTGTACACATGACATAAATACAAGGTCACTTACTGAAGTATTGTTGGCCAATAGCAACAGAGGAAGCAACCAAAATCTCATCAATAAGAGACTGGCTAAATAATAGTTCGTATCCATAGTTTTGCAATACTGCTTCAAGATATATACATATATAAAATTAGGTTTAAACAATAAAAGTTCAGAAGAGTATATGTAGTATTTTACTATTTGGATGTAGAAGAGGTGGGGAGATAAAGAATATATACATATGCATTCACTTGTATAAGCATAGACTGTCTAAAATGACCCATAATAAAATGGCAACATTATTTTTGAGGAAGGAAACTGGGTGGCTGGGATGTTTTTCACTTAATCTTTTCGTACTTTAAAAATAATGTGGATGTACTACCTATCCAAAATAGTTTTATGAATGTTTTCTTTTCCACAAAACTGAAAGCAGAGAAAAGATAGTCTTTTCAACAAATGGTGCTGAGATAATTGGATATCTATATGCAAAAACAAAATATCTTTGCTCCATACCTCACAAAATATATAAAAATTAAAATGGATCATAGATCTAAATGTAAACCCTGAAACTGTAAAACTTTTAGAAGAAAACGTAGGAAGAAATCTTTGTGATCTCGGATTACACAAAGATTTCTTAGATTTGATATCAAAACCATGATCCGTAAAGGGACAAAAGCGATAAATTGGAGTTTATCAAAATGGACAACTTATACTCTTCAGAAACATGAAGGTAATGAGGAGACAAGCTACAGACTAGGAAGAATTATTTGCAAATCACATATCTGATTAAGGCCTTGTTTCCAGAAGGTATTAAAAATAATTTTTAAAATTTAAATACTAAGAAGAAAACCTAAGAAAAAGAATAGGCAAAAATTTGAACAGATAATTTCTTCAGCAAAGTTATGTGGCTGGTAAGTGCTTGAAAAGAGGTTAAGCATCAGTCATTAGGGAAATGCAAATATAATCACAGTGAGACACTACCACACACCTATTATTAGTACAGCCACTTTAGAAAATAGTTTGGGAATTTCTTTAAAAGTGAAACATACTACCACCATGTGACCCAGTCAGTGCACTACTAAGTATTCATCAAAGACAAATGAAAGTATGTCTTCACAGAGACTTGTACATAGGTGTTCACAAGAGCTGTATTTGTAGTAACTTAAAACCGGAACCAACTTAAGTGTCCACCAGGTGAATGGATAACTAAGTTGTGATGCCGCTACAATAGAATACTAAGCAACAGAAAAAACTGTTGATACATGCAGCAGATTGAATGACTCTCAAAATAATTACACTGAGTTAAGTTATTCCAAAAAGAGTGCATACAATACAATTCCATATAAAATTCTAGAAAATACAAACTAATCTATTGTGACAGAAAACAGATCAGTGGTTACCTGTGAGAATCAGTAGGAGTGTGGGAATAGAGAGAGACAGAAGCCGGGAGATTACAAAGGAGCACAAGGAAACTTTTGGAGATGATGGAAATGTTTGTATCTTAATTGTTTCAAAGTCTTATGCATGTGTCAAAACTTATCAAAATGCACACTTTAAGTATATGTAGCTTATTGTATGTCAATTATACCTCAGAAAAGGTGTTAAAAAAGAAAAATCATGTATTACCTATTCAAAAATATATTAAATGTTTAAAATAACTTTTTTTTTTTTTTTTTGAGATAGAGAGTCTTGCTCTGTTGCCAGGCTGGAGTACAGTGGTGTGATCTCAGCTCGGCTCACTGCAACCTCTGCCTCCTGGGTTCAAGCAATTCTCGTGCCTCAGCCTCCCAAGTGACTGGGATTACAGGCTCCCGCCACCACGCCTGGCTAATTTATTTTTTATTTTTATTTTTATTTATTTATTTATTTACTTGTATTTTTAGTAGAGACGGGGTTTCACCATGTTGGCCAGGATGGTCTCCATCTCCTGACCTCATGATCCGCCCACCTCGGCCTCCCAAAGTGCTGGGATTATAGGCGTGAGTCACCATGCCTAGCCTAAAGTAACATTCTTGAAAGGACAGAACTGTAGAAATAGAGAACAAATTACCGTACATCAGTGTAGTGTGGGAAAGAAAAGAAAACAAATTAGTGGTTGCCAGAGTACAGGATGAGTTTTTGGAGTTTTTGGAGGGAAGCGTGAATACAGAGATAGCACAAGGGAATTCTTCTCTGGTAATGGAACAGTTCTGTGTCTTGACTGTGGGGGTGGCAGTCATGTGAATATGTAAACAGGATCAAATTGCATGAAACTCTGCATACACATGCACATGCATACACACATAGATGAATGAAGGTTGAAAAAATGGCAAAAATGGAAAAATAGGTAATCTAGTTAGTCAAGTTAACAATAGTGTATGCATGTCAATTTCCCGGTTTTGATGTTGAACTACAGCAATATGAGAAGTCAGCAAAAGAAGCAGGATGAAGAGGCCGGGCTTGGTGGCTTACGCCTGTAATCCCAGCACTTTGGGAGGCTGAGGCAGGCAGATCACATGAGGTTAGGAGTTCGAGACCAGCCTGACAAACATGGTGAAACCCCTTCTCTACTAAAACTACAAAAATTAGCTTGGCGTGATGTTGCACACCTGTAATCCCAGCTACTTGGGAGGCTGAGGCAGGAGAATCGCTTGATCCCGGGAGGCGGAGGTTGCAGTGAGCCCAGATTATGCCATTGCACTCCAGCCTGGGTGACAGAGCAAAACTCAGTCTCAAAAAAAAAAAGGATGAAGTATATGTTGGACTCTGCACTGTTTTTGCAACACCCTGTGAGCCTAAAATTATCAAATAAAAAGTTTAAAAAGAGTAATATTTAAAATAGTATGATTATCTGAACTGATGGTGTGGCACTACCAAAACTGTTTCAAGGAGGTTCTAATACTGTACTACTTCTAATTAGGATTCATTCTGCTGTAACACTCTTTTCTTGACCATATTTAGTACTTATACATCTTTGCTTTTATAATGTTTGTACATTTATATTTTCAAAAGGAAGCTAGTCTCATAATAATTTCTTTCCCACTTTACATCTCAGCTTCATAGATAGTCTTATTCTCCCTATTCTTGTGTTTTCATGGAGATTAATATATTAGGTTTGTCTATGTTTATTCACGCAGATATTTTTATTGTAGTTTCCTTTAAAGAAATAAGCAGCTAATAAAGATGGGTTTTATTTATAGTAGTGAATAAATATATTTAAATGTTTAAAATTTTGTTTCTAAATTTCTATGTCTTATTCTAGTCGCTGATTTGTAATGTTATTTATTGTTTCTTTTTTCCTACTTAGGTGAAATCTATTCTTGAAAGAAGTAAAGAGGAGCTGTCCCGAACAGTGAAGTGTCGTAATGCAGCCCTGAAAGAGAGTCAGAAGTTGAAAGAAGACCTCGAGGCCGTGGAGGACAGGGAAAACAAGAAGGCAAGGAATCAGTCCCTTCTGACCGTCTGTCACTGAGAAGAAGCACTTACGAAATCTTTCATGAGCCATATGTTTTGCTTTCTTGCTTCCATTAGTAAGAAAAAGGATTGATCAGGGGAAGATTTCTTTTTTTAGAGAAAAGATAATTTTAGAATAGTTTAAATTTTTTCCCTTAAAAATACATTATATATATATAAAACTTTCAATGTTTTTTTTAACTTTGTCTTAAATACTCAAAAGAGAAAGTTCTAATTTTTTCTATTGAAACACATCTGATCTTGGTAATAATAACCTTTATAGTTATGTTTTATTAATGTGAGATAAGATTTCTGTGATGCTTTCTCCTTAACAGTGTGTGTGTGCTTAGTGGGAATAGAGGTCACATCCCAAACTTCTCTTTGTCAGCAAGTGCTAGGTTTTGTCTCTCTGAGGAGGGCTGTGAGTTACCTCATTCTTCAGCAGCTTCCGCTTTTTCTTACAGTCTTTTTTTCTCAGATAATTCTAATGCATTTCAGATGTATTATTCTCACCTGACCCCATCAGAAGTCAGCTGAGAGGCCAGCCTGGCACCACCTCTGTGCTGGTTAATGTGTATGCTGTAAAATGACCATAGTTGGGAAGCTGCAGAGTTCACCATAGGATCTGGGGGTCAGCTTTTCTTTTTCTTAACAACAACTTAAGAAACCACCTAAAAATAAAATATACTTTAATTATTTCCCCTAGCATCCTACTGTGTCTGCTTGTCTGCTTTCCATACTCTTTCCTGGGAGTAATGAGATCCACAAGCAGAAGAGTAACCAGAAAGGATCAAATGTCTTTGTGTTGTTTCATTTTCTGTTAGGTGGGAAACTTTCAGCGACAACTGGCAGAAGCTAAAGAAGACAACTGCAAAGTCACAATCATGTTGGAGAATGTGCTGGCTTCTCACAGTAAAATGCAAGGTGCTCTGGAGAAAGTACAAATAGAGCTTGGGCGGAGGGATTCAGAGATTGCAGGCCTCAAGAAAGAAAGGTACCTGTGTTTTTTTCCTGTCATTGGTATTGCTGCATTGTACTAAGGAGCAGTGTCAAGTCAATAAATGAAGTCACTTTACGTAGCTTCCTTTACAAAAAAAAAAAAATTGTAAAATGATACGTTTAAAGAATTACTAAGTTAGAGAAAATTTAGAATTAGAAATAAATATTATTTCCAAAAATTCAAAATGCCCCTATTGTGTAGTGATGTGAAGGAATTTCTAGACTATATATCCTAGAAATTCATTAGCTATACTGTTGTTTTACCCTTGCTTTTTGCACCATGTAAACCTAATTCTGTTCTTGCTTCTACACAATAGTAATTGTCAAGATAATGGAAACTAAGTACATACTTTAGTTTGAATTAATTATCCATTTATTACTATCCTGTTTCAAGATTAATAATTATTGTAGGTAAATCATCCTGAGAACCACTTCTTGCCATGTTTTATAAGTAAATTCCTTCATAGAATGTTTCAAAAATTAAATAAAATTTCCTTTTATTAATAAAAATTTATTCCTCAGAATAAACGGTCTGAGTTTAATAGGGCATATTGCCTCTATGTTATGAGAGAACAAGTGAGTTTTCTTTTTTCTTTTTTTACATTACATGTTGTTTATCTTTTAAAAGTTGCCTTTGCATTTTTAAAAAGTCAAGGGAATGGTATTAAAAATACTATTCACAATAACTTTATAAGTGGCTATAATATGTAGATGCAAAAATCTCAACAGCAAGCCAATCTTTGTAAAGGCAATATATTTTTTACTAGTGACATTTCCTAGTGATATATATGTATGATGCTATTTGAGCTTCTTAGAAGAAAAGTGTTCTGTAACTCCCAAATGATATCATTCCTAGATGATTCTTTTCTGTAGTCACTCTTTTTGTGCTTTTTATTTTTAGGGATCTCAATCAACAGAGGGTGCAGAAGCTAGAAGCTGAAGTGGACCAGTGGCAGGCCAGGATGCTTGTCATGGAGGACCAGCACAACAGTGAGGTTGGGGCCAGGCTTTAAAAAATGATAACATTGATATGTTCAGTTTTACTGGGATATTACTGTTTTGGGGAAAATGAAGTGAAACAATCAGGTAAATGTTTTTTTCAATCAAGTCTGAGTTTTGCACAGTGACATATCTACAAATGGGGAATTGACCTGTCTTACAATGAGTCACTTATTGGCAAACCAGTACCACAATAATGACTAATCTCTTTGTCTTATATGGTCTACATTTTTATTCATTTATTAATGCACAAAAAATTTCAGAAGTTAATGGGCTTAGAAAATATAGTCTGTCAGAAACAGCTTGAGTGATCCCACTATTAATAAGGAGTCACCTACACACACATGTGCTCACAGGTATATGTACATACATGCATACGTATCTATACGCACATATGTAAAATACACATGGATAGTTCATAAATAAGGGTTTTTTTTCCTGTAAGAATCTATAAGGAACGGTGGACAAGTTTTGTCTTCAAGGGAGTGAGACCAGAAGGTCATAGGACCAGGAAGGGGAATTTAGTTTAAAATTTAAAAAATTAGGATAAATTAAGCTGAGTCTGTTTTCCAAAGCTCTCTGGTGACCAGTGGAGCATGCCCTTCCCATTGCCTTCTAAGTGTTTCCTGAGCAGTGTCTCTAATAAGTTCTCATTCATATATGTATATACATATATATATATATATTCCAGGCACCTGGAATCTTTGCTTCTGGTTCCAACTAATTATTGTTTCGGTGGCACTTGATGATAGAACGTGAGGAGTGTTGACACAGTGTTATGGACTTCTTGCATCTGTTACAGTGGAATTGAAAACATGCTTCTCTCTTTCAGATTGAATCTCTACAAAAAGCTCTAGATGTAGCTAGAGAAGACAACAGGAAACTTGCTGTGAGTCTGGAACAAGCTCTCCAGACAAATAATCATCTGCAAACAAAGCTAGATCACATTCAAGAGCAACTGAAAAGCAAAGAACTTGAGCGACAGAATTTGGAAACCTTCAAGTAAGAGCAGTGTAGTCACAGTAAAATTAGGGAAGCACCTCTGGAGGAGTAAGTCACATTCACATAAATGGCTCATTCACATAAATCAGTTAAACTCTTTTCTCGTACTTTGCCCTAGTACTTCCAGCAGAGCCATGTTAAGAACCAGGCATAGCTGAGCACCAGCAGATAATAGCTGGCTAGAGCATGATCATTTGACTCTCCTTCTCAGCTCTTCCTTCATCCACTATCTAGCTGCTGCTTTACTCAAAGGTTAAATGAAAACTTAAAGAATATTGATTAGAAGGGACATTTGCATGTTTCTATGAAGGCTTTCCTATTAATAGCTTATATGTCCTTTAAAGACATGATTTAGACAAGAAAAAACATCAGCCTGGGTGGAATGACTCCATCTAAACAGATGTTAAGCCATTAAATGTTTTCAGTTTTGACCCGAGATTACTTAGATCAGACCTATCCAGTTCAGGTCAAATGACTAAAGTTTTGCCTTAAATTATACCTAGGTAAATATTTAGATATTAATAGCATCCCATGAAAATTTATACTTAAAGGAAATGCAGTGTGCACGTAGATCTTTATTCCTTTATAAATATTTATTTATTTATTTATTTATTTATTTATTTATTTGAGACTGAGTCTTGCCCTGTTGCCCAGGCTGGAGTTCAGTGGTGTGATCATGGCTCACTGCAGCCTCTACTTCCTGGGCTCATGCAGTTCTCCTACTTGAGCCTCCTGAGTAGCTGGAACTACAGGCATGTATCACCATACCTGGCTAATTTTTTTTTTTTTTTTTTTAAGAGATAGGGTTTCTCCATGTTGCCCAGGGTGGTCTCAAACTCCTGGGCTCAAACAGTTCACCTGCCTCAACCTCCCAAAGTGCTGGAATTACAGGCATGAGCCACTGTTCTCAGCCTAGATACTTGTTCTTTTCAATTAGTGAGCATGTTGATACAGGAAAGAGGTATAAGCTACAGCAGAGATGGTATTTTCCAGATATATGATCTCTGCAAATTTTACATTCAGCTGAAATGTTACTGCCTTAAGATTGTTCCATATTGTGTTTATGTAGTTGTTGGCAGCAGCATTTAAAACTCTCCAATGTCAGTTTAGGTAATTATGATTTAGACGGCTAGTAATTGTTTCAAAGCCTGAAAATTATTTAGTGACTATAAAATGTAGTCCCTGCCACTACTGCTTCAAACAAACAAACAAAACAAAAGGAGAAAAAAATATGGTTAGGTCATTTACAGGAAAAGTATGAGGTGAGAGTTAGAGGTCTCCTTGCAGCATTTGCTTCAGGATTTACCTTTATGCCACTGCTTATGATAATAGTTTGTATTTTCATCAAAGATGAATCGTGCTTCTTTACTTGAGATCTTTGAACCTCCTGAAATCATATGCAGAACTGTATTTATCAGTGCACAGGGTTAGGAAGACAGAGCAGGTTTTAGAGAACTTGTTGGGTTTTAGGTACAGTTATTTAATTTAGACTTAGAACTGTAGGCTTAGTTCTAAGAAGAGGCTACTATTTGGAATTCATCTCCATAAAGATAAAAGCTAAACGCCTGATGCGGTGGCTCACACCTGTAATCCCAGTACTTTGGGAGGCAGAGGTGGGTGGATCACGAGGTCAGGAGATCGAGACCATCCTGGCCAACATGGTGAAATACCCTCTCTACTAAAAATACAAACCTGGGTGTGGTGGTAGGCGCCTGTATTCCCAGCTACTTGGGAGGCTAAGGCAGGAGAATCGCTTGAACCTGGGAGGCAGAGGTTGCAGTGAGCCGAGATCATGCCACTGCACTCCAGCCTGGGTGACAGAGCGAGACTCCATCTCAAAAACATAAAAAGATAAATGCTAAAGCTTTGGTGTGGGTTAGACTGCCATGGGAAAAGTATATAGAGAGAACCAAGGTCAGAACTTGGAGATGTGCTGCATTTCAGGTAGAAGGCGAACAGGGGCCACAGAAGGATCCAGAGAAGGAGCATTTAGTGGAGGTAAGGAAAGAATCAGTAGAATGTAGTATCACCAAAGTCAAACACAAGTGAGTCAGATGCTGCACAGTCAAAGAGACCAGAGAGGAAGCCACTGGGTTTTGCAACAGGTATCTACCAATCATCCTCCAGATGGCCAGTTTCTGTAGATACAGAAGATCACAAGGAGTAAGTGATTGATGAGGAAAGGCAGGCAAGGAGGACAATGGTGAAGATAAAGAACGTCAGATAGCAGCTCAAGAGTATAACATGAAGAAAAGTCATTCTGTTGCTGTCCTGTTTTTGGAATGGGAGGAACTGGACCATGATTAAAGATTATGGGAAAGAACTCGATTGAACTGGAGAAAGAGGGAGTCGAAGCGGAAGGGTTATCTTTAAAGATGAGGTTGGATATTTCTTCCTTTGGGACTAGAGGGAAGCAGAAGCTGGGTGAGTCTTCAGAAGACTGTTGAGGAGGCTGATTGGTAGATGGTCTGCGATTTTCCTTAGGAAAAAAAGAGCAAGATGAATACATTCTAGAGATCTGCTGTATAACATAGGGCTATAATGAACAACACTATATTGTATGCTTAAAATTTGTGAAGAGGGTAGACCTCATATTAAATGTTCTTACCACAGTAAAAAGAAGAAGAAAGTAAGAGTTGAAGTTGAAGTGCTATGTGGGGGCTCAGGGCAGAGGTAGAGACTTGAGAGAAATTTTAAAATTTAAAGTTAATAAAAAATTTAATTAAAACTAAAATTTAGAATTTGAATTTTTAGAGCTAGATGATGACAATAGTTAACATCTGTTACATGCTCATGATATGTTGGGTAATATGCTAAGGACTTCACATGCATTATTTCCTTTAGTACAAACTATTACCCTATGATGGTGGTTACTGTTATTATTCCCATTTTGAAGATAAGGAAACAAGCAGGGGAAGGTGGTGTACCATACTCAAGGTCAGACATCATCTTACTAGAGCTGGGATTAGGATCCAGGCAGCAGCAGGCTGACTCCAAAACTTATAGTCTTAATCATTTCGATATAAGCACAGTAAATTTAAAGGCAATTTAGAAAGTTATAAGAAAATCAAAATACAGCACTGTAAAAATGATGGTTTTGTTCCCTTTCTATATCTCCATGAATTTTTTGCTCATTTTTCAGATTGAGGTGGGTATGGGGAGGAGTGTGGGAATGTAAGAAATAACCACAATTATATCCAGTAACTTCAGGATCTCCATCCTTTTATGCTGTGCCTTGAGGACAGGTGTCAGCAAATTTTTAGATGTGATGACCAAAGTGTATTGATACATTCCTGCCTGGGGTACTGGAGGGACAGTTGAAGTTACCACCTGCAAGTCTCATGTAGAGACCAAGTCACTGAATGCTGCTAAGTGGAGAAACTGAATCCATTAGTAGATGTGCTTTTAGAGACACATGGAGAACATGGATGTATTATACAAATAAGAGCAAGAGATGGTCAGGAGGAGAGAGGGGGGAAATGAAGATGATTTCATGGCAGGGCAGGCTCCTATCCTTTGAGAAGAACCAATAACACAAGAGTAATCATATAGTAAGTCATTATCAGCTGGATCAGAGAATGTTAAAGCTGGAAGAAGCCTAGTAATTGCTTAAATTCATTTAGTCCTTTTTGGAGTCACTTATCCTTTTAAAAATCAGAAGCTATGGACTCAACTACAATCCCTCACACACACACACATTTTGCATATTATTTCCGGGAATTCCAGCATCCTCAGAAGATTAATCATGGGTCTTGACCAAGGAGTTCAAGTTAGGAATGCTGATCTAATTTAAGGCTCTCAGTTTAAAGATAAGGAAACAATATTATTACAAGTTAAAACTTGAGTAGTAAATAGCTGCTAGCAAAAAGACATCATCTTACTAGAGCTGAGATTACAATCCAGACAGTAGCAGGCCGACTCCAAAACCCATAGTCTTAATCCCTTTGCTAAAATAATGGTTTTGTTTGAAAAGACAAAGGCAAGAGAAAAGACAAAAGCAAATATCTCTTAAAGTATTTCTTCTTCCTCCAATATTTTTCTTTGATGTGAGTTTTTTACTCATTTGGTTGGTAAAATGAGTTAATTGTTTCTCAGCCTCCTGAATAGCTGGGATAACAGGCACCCGCCACCATGCCCAGCTAATTTTTGTATTTTTAGTAGAGGTGGAGTTTCACCATGTTGGCCAGGCTGGTCTCAAACTTCTGACCTCAGGTGATCCACCTGCCTCATCCTCCCAAAGTGCTGGGATTACAGGCATGAGCCGCCTTGCCCGGCCTGTTTGATGATTTTTACGTAGAATTAATGTTTTTTCATGCTACAGGTAAGTTCACTTCTTTTTTCTTCTGTTAATGAGCTCCAAATTAGGTTCACCAGGCTACTGATAGGCTGCTTGTTTATAAATCACATACCTTTTGGAGAGTTGCACACTCCCCTCCAAAACTTTCTTACCTCCTAAAATGATTTCTAAAGGTGACTTATCACCTCTCTTCTTCAAAACAGAGACCAGATGACTGAAGAGTCCAAAGTGGAAGCAGAATTGCATGCTGAACGCATAGAAGCCCTAAGAAAGCAGTTTCAAACTGAGAGAGAAACTGCAAAGAAAGTGGCACAACGGGAAGTGGCTGAGGTATAGAGTCATGAGGAAAGTTTCTCTCTTGGTGAATGCCTCTTAGGAGGAAAAGCAGCTCTGGGATTTCAGAGAATGGCTGCAGTTGGCCTTTGACTCCTCTCGTCCCCCTTTGATCAGCAGGCCAGATGTAATTAAGACCTCTCTGTAAAGCAGCACACAAGAAAAAAGTTTCTGACATAATTCTCTGGCCAGCAAAGGTGTGCCTTGGTGGGAGATTTTCCATCAGAGAGTGATAAGCGAGAGGGATAGAGGAATAAGGAGACTGCCATGTGATAGACAGAAGAGAAATCATCTGTCTTCTCAGTTCACTTAACTGGCATCTATTCTGCATCTACCATGTCCTGAGAGACACGGAGAAAACAGTAGAAGATATGGTCCTGCCCTAGTGTGTGCCAAATGACCCTTGTTTGGGATCTCCACTCCGGACATGAGACAAATAGGGAAAACAACAGAGCACTTTCTTGGGTAGCAGAGGCTGTGTACAACTTTGAAGGAATTCGAAGTAAGAGAAAGTTTATTTTAGGCCATTTGGTTGATAGAAGAAGGGAAGCTTAATGAGAGTACAGGATTGAGACTAGCAGAGATGGCAGGACTGGACACCTTACAAAACTGGCCAAGCTTACTTACAAAAATGAACAGGACATGCAAGCAGATGAAAAGTAGCCTCTGTTGATTAGAGCAGAGACTTTGGGAAATGTTAGAGAAAGAGTGTTAGCTTAAATGGGACCACCTGATGGATGGCCTTAGTTATAGAAATGTTGGATGTGAACTCAGGTAGAAATGGAGCACTATGGGTTTCTGAGCAGGGGGTGGTATGATAGAAGCATAAGTTTAGGAAGGTTAATGTAACAACAGAGGACAGTAGAGGATAATGAAGAGAAACTGGAGGCATGGAGACTCAAGAAAACTGTAACCGTTAATTTGAGTATTAGATGATTAGGGCCAAGCAAAGTAGTTCAGTTGAAAATAGAAAACAATTAAGTCAGAAAGCCCATTTTAATAGAAAAATCATCAAACAGTCCGGGCAAGACGGCTCATGCCTGTAATCCCAGCACTTTGGGAGGCTGAGGCAGGTGGATCACCTGAGGTCAGAAGTTTGAGACCAGCCTGGCTAACATGGTGAAACTCCATCTCTACTAAAAATATAAAAATTAGCTGGGCATGGTGGCAGGTGCCTGTAATCCCAGCTATTCAGGAGGCTGAGGCACAAAAATCGCTTGAACCTGGGAGGTAGAGGTTACAGTGAGCCTAGATAGCGCCACTGCACTCCAGCCTGGGTGACAGATGGAGACTCCGTCTCCAAAAAAACAAAAAAAAAAAAAAAAAAAAAAAAAGAAATTATCAAACAGACATTAAATGTTGTATCCTGGAGAAGGAGGGATTAAAATAATTCTTTGGCTGGCATGGCTGGTCTGTGTTTCACCAAATTTGTTACATTTAGTAGTTGCAATTGACAGATGATTCACAAAATCAAACTCAAATAATGGTATATAAAACAATTTTGTGAATTGCAAAGCACTATATAAATACAAATGTTATAAAAAGCAAATTCTTTTTATAGAAGAATTAGGGAACATAAAGGTGTGCTAAATGTAGAAATGTACCTTTAGTCAGAGATCATTGTTAAGAATACTTACAGCCGGGTTCAGTGGCTCACGCCTGTAATCCCAGCACTTTGGGAGGCCGAGGTGGGGGGGATCACGAGGTCAGGAGATTGAGACCATCCTGGTTAACACAGTGAAACCCCGTCTCTACTAAAAATACAAAAAAATTAGCTGGGTGTGGTGGTGGCGCCTGTAGTCCCAGCTACTGGGGAGGCTGAGGCGGGAGAATGGCGTGAACCTGGGAGGCGGAGCTTGCAGTGAGCTGATAATTGTGCCACTGCACTCCAGCCTGGACTACAGAGCGCAACTCCATCTCAAAAAAAAAAAAAAATACTTACAAAATGAAATCCTTTGAAGAAGGATCAGTGACAGTGAGGGAGTGACAGCAGTGAGGAGTTGGCAGCAGCAATGGGCTCACAGAGCACTGCCTGAGTCCCAGCTCTGCCTCTTATTAGCTACGTGTTAATTTACTGTGTAAGTAAGTGACTTAATTTCTGAGTTTCCGTTTCCTCAGTCATAAAATGGAAACTACCACAACTATTTTTCAAGTTTATCTTGAGAATTAAATTGGAAAGCATTTTTAAAGTAATTATTACAGTACCTGAACATAATAATCACTACAAAGTAAATGATAGTTGTTAGTGCTTATCCAGTTTTAGAAAGGCTGTGATTGAGGTAACTGAAATATCTAACAGGAAGTTAGTTGGGCAGTAATAAAAGACTGTAGTGTAAAGTTAGGATCTAAAAGAAGGAACTAGTATAGAAAGAAAAGGTACAGATATCCTTGACTTCACTCTTTGCTGTGTTAAATGCTAGCAGACATAGAGAGTACCACCTTCCTGTCTTCTCCCTTCTCAACTGCCTCCTCTTCCTAAACTTTTTGAGTGGCAGTGGTTTAAGGGCATATTAGAAGGACGGGAACTCTGTAAAATTATTTAAGTAACTACTATGCAGTTTTTTTCACGAGATAAGTTTATTAAAATCCTTGAGAACAAAAAGCAAAATTATAAAAATATATGCCATGACAGTCAATGACTTGACAGATATTTATATAAACTGCCATATAATTCATTTTCATTTCTTCAGAAATGAGGTTGCAAGTGACAGAGAAGAGCTTATAGCATGATAATCACAGAGTATTGTGTGTGCCAAACTCTACTTCTTTCTCTATATGATCTTAATTTAATTTGTTATTTGTATTCTATGAAGTAGGCTATACACACACTGTTCACATGATGAACCTGAGGCTTAAGGTAGTTAATTGCCCCAGATCACTCAACCAGTAAGTGCTGAAGGTGATATTTGGACAGAGACCTGACTCCAAAGCCATGCTCTTAAAATGCAAATGATGAATATACATTTACATTCTTTATTCCAAGAAAGAGTTTGTTCTTCAGTGATAAAAATTATGAAAACCACTTGGTCTGTTGCTCCATAAATCTGCTTAATCAGACATTATTATTGCCTCACTAACTCTCCTTTTTAAAAGAAAATCCAAAGATAACAAAATATAAGGACAAAACTACATAAGCTTCTCTTGATGGAAAGTAAAAATGTTTCAATTTTTTCCCTTGTGTTTTAAGCTGAAGAAAGCCCTTGATGAAGCTAACTTCAGATCAGTGGAAGTGTCCCGGACCAACCGAGAGCTGCGACAGAAACTTGCAGAGCTAGAAAAAATACTAGAAAGTAACAAGGAGAAAATAAAGAATCAAAAGACCCAAATTAAGCTCCACTTGTCAGCTAAGGCGAATAATGCTCAGAATATAGAAAGGATGAAGGTTGTATGAGAAACCTCTTCTCACTTCCTGGATACCCTATGAGGATGTAGGCAGTCAGTGGTGTCTGGGGAAGACAGGTTTTAGAACCCTACCAGCCCCACGTATTCTCTGGGAATTATAGCCAGTTGCCTTTGGGGAGACTTTTTCAGTGGAGACGCTGCTGTGTAAATGTTTGATTTCTCCTTTGCTGCCAGTGTCACATTCTGGTTCCCCATCTGTCCCTTCCATGTTGATTGTACTGGACTTTGCTCTTTCGGGATCAGTGGGCCAGATGGGAAAGAAAGCTCAGCAGGAACTGGTAACTTTGGGTCTCATATTGGAATCTTTCTGTCATCTTATAGGCAAAAAGAGCAAGCCAGTTTTTCCACTGATCATCTTTTTATGTTATTTTCCATTTACTTTTAGCAAATAGAAAAAGAATTGAAGCAAATGGAGCTAATTAAGGATCAATATCAGAGAAAAAACTATGAACAGGTAGATAGATGATTTCCATACCCTCTGTGTTTACCTTTCATGCAAAATCTCAAACTTGGAGGGGGTTCACCAAATGTCTCCGTCTTTGTATCCTTCCAGTCTTTGAGTATCCAGAGGTTTGTGTGTGAAATGACTAACCTGCAGAAAGAGATGCAGATGTTGGCCAAGAGCCAGTATGATGCCTCCGTGCGGAGTAAACAGCAAGAGCTGTGCCTAGAAGCAGAGCGGAAAATAAGGCAGGAGCTAGAGAATCGGTGCCAGGTAAAAGGTTTCCTAAGATTCATCTTAAAGATCGTCAGCAAATGACATGTGCCAAGCCCAGCAGTATTGCACCTAGACTTTCTAGAGTCTACAGAAGACAACACATATTTACAAATTGTTTATCTTAGCTAAGTCCTTAGAATAATAGTATCTAGGAAGAAGACTGTAGTTTGAATACGGCAAATAATAAAAGTAACGTCAAATTTTCAGTTTAATAAAAGTAACGTCAAATTTTGAAGAACATCTAGGGCTTACATATGCAAAGTATCAGTTACTAAGTAAGACTTCTGAACTGAATTCCATAGCCTTTCAGGAACTTTATACACCTCATTTCTTCTCCTAGCACAGATACACCTGTTGTTGTTACAGGACTCTTAGGTATTCCTAAATGAATAAAAAGCATAACGTCATATCACTGAAAAGGGACTTCAAGAGATCACTGAGCTCTTGTCTTTCAATAGGGTTTGTCATGAGAAGTATCTCTCCAGTTCTGAAAAGAGATATTAATCACTTTCCTCAACAGAATCCATAAATAAAAAATCAAAATGTGTAATCATATCCACATATGTAGATATGGAGACTATAGGTGAAACTGAAAATAACAGTTTTTATCTCATATGTCAGTAGCACCTGAAGTTAGAAGGCACTCCATCCTATTTTCATATTTGGTTGCCCATTTATCATAACAGTGAAGCATTTGATTCCTTATGGTATGTTGGAAGTTTATAAAAATCTCTGTATCACATTTTCAGGAATTGGAAGAAACTATCAGACACCTGAAGAAATGTAAAGAGGCAACAGAGAATAAGCTGAAAGAAGCCAGTGTGGAGTCAGAACAGGTGAGCCAGACCCATGGACATAAAGACTTAGACGTTTCCTTCAACACAACAACCCTGAAGCAACCCAAGTCAATGTGAAATCCTTCATTAACAGAGTTGTCAGGAATGCAACAGGGAAAAACCAGTAACTTCCCAAGTGTAGTCTCTATTGTAAAGAAGTGATTTTTAGATTAAGAGTCTGTGTCCTGATGATAAATGAGAGATTACGCGATGCTGAAATATTAAAACTGAAGTCCAAATCTCCCTACTAAATATGAGGAAAAACCAGCATATGTGTGGATTTTAGTGCATTATTATTTGACATGACCCTACTGAAAGTGGATGCTCTTTGTTCAATCAATCAATAACTAAAAAAGTAAAGTAAGACCCCATTTAACTAATTTGTGAATTTGCCTTTTCTATTCTAAACTTAAATTAGCCTTTTGGGGGGTATTTCAAATCATACTTTTTTTTCTTTCTTTGAAACAGGATCTCACTCTGTCACCAGACTGGAGTATATGGCATAAGCTTGGCTCACTGCAACCTCCACCTCCTAGGCTCAAATGATCCTCCCACTTGAGCCTCCCAAGTAGCCAAGTAGCTGGGCATGGTGGTGTACCATGCACAGCTAATTTTTGGTGGAGATGAGGTTCCACTATGTTGCCAGGCTGGTCTTGAACTCCTGCACTCAGGTGATCCACCAGCCTTGGCCTCCCAAAGTGCTGTGATTCCAGATGTGAACCACTACACCTGGCCCATGAACTACTACATTCTTAAGAGTTCATATATTTTTTCATTTTCAAAGCCATCTTGTACCTTCATTCTTAATTTTCTCCTGGGTCCTCTCTTGCATTACTTCACATCCAGGAAACATTAACAAATGCATGGAAAGCAGCAAGGCTGCATGCATTGTTTAACCCCTCACTCAGAAATTACTCTCATATATAGGTTGTTAAGTATATTGTGCAAATAGGTTGCAAAGAACATGCAGTCAGAATTTGGGTCTTTTAATTTCTAAGTAAAAAATCTCTGCAACTAATACACAAAAAACTTGTAACTCTTTCTTTGTGTCTTTTAATGGTGATATTTATATGTTCAGATAACAGCTAACCTGGAAGAAGCCCATCGCTGGTTTAAACACAGGTTTGATGGTCTACAACTTGAGCTGACAAAAAACCGGTTGCAGAGGCCTTCTGGGGAAGACAGGTGGCAGGAAAAGGTAAGATTAAGACATGGATGTCTTAAGCAATTTTCTACTTGTTGCTTCTCAGATTTCTAATTACTAAAGTTCTCTCATCATCTTGATACTGTCTCGGTTAATCTTTAGTTTCTTTACACTAATGCTAGCAAACCAGTTAATTTCTTTTTCTTACAAAGTTCCACCTGTCACAAACTTTTTAAATTAGAATCACCTGTCTTCATGAATACATGACATGTGTAGAGGCAAAACAGGCGCAGATTGCTGCAGTTAGCTTTGAACAGTCAGTGTTAGGTGTGTTTTCTTTCCAACAGGACCAAGATGTAAAACATGATGTCATGTCCAACCAATCTGTTCTGCATCGATGGGAGAAAAAACAGAATCTTAGGCCTATGCCCAAGAAGTATCATTCTGAGGTACAGAGGAAGTGATGTCCTTGACAAGGGAGCTGCTTTATGTGTAGCTACACTCCATGATTCCACGAGCCCAGCAGCCAGGGCTGGCCTGTTTCTAGAGTCATAAGAACATGAAGTCTTTGATGTGGGCTGAAGATTTTGGACCTGAGTTTATCATTTTATGAACTATTATATCAGTACAAAGCTACCCCGTTTTTTTGTCCCTTTTTGCATTTTCCACCCAATAAATTTATGTTAATTTGTTTTATGATAGGAGATGCTGTTCCATGATTCTTGTCTGTTTTTCTAATAAGTATAAGAAAAAGCTTTTAGCAAGGTTCTAAATGATATTGCTACTAAACGATATGATATTTTGCTTCAGTGAAACATCCTCCTCTAACATGCAGTAGATAATCCCTGAAAATAGAATTGTGTGAAAAATGGTAAAGACTCCTCTACTGTCTTGCAGACTGACACACTTCTGTGTTGGGTAATTACCAGCATATCTTTTAAATGACTAATATCTCTATTCTCAAATAAGGCATTTCAGATATTACATTTACAGCTTCCTTGGTCATTAAAAAAGTTACAGAATGCAGCAGTCTGTTCTTCTCAGGGAGACTATGCCTGACCAACATAGCTCATCCTTACTATAGTTAAGGAATAAGCTCATCTTCATCTTTTTATTTCAGATGTTGAGTGGTGGATTAGGTAATCCAGATTTAACATATGTAAATGGATGGCATAATACCTGACTTAATTAATACTCAAGTAATCATAGCTGCTGCTGACATTATCAGGACCTAAATCAAGTAAGCAATCATGAAATTGAAAATAATATCAAATATAAGACTGTCAAAGGTTGATGAGCCTACTACTCAATATCTGATAGAAAAAAACAAAGCTACATTTATCACTTACTATATAGTAAGGGATAATTGTTCAGGCATAGTCCTCCTTGAGCAGAGCAGACTGTTAATCTCATGTAGGTTCTTTGGGAATATGGAATTCATATTGACATCTGTAGAAGTGTAGTTACTGAAGTGAGACTATTGTTTATTGATTCACATTCAGAAGCATGTTAATTGGAGTGGGTCCATTTCTGTTTGTTTGACTTAAGGAATAAAGGACTCTTGCTGGTTTTCAGGCTTGTAAAAGCATGTACAAAAAGGCAAGTTGGCCAGGTCCAGTGGCTCATGCCTGTAATCCCAACACTTCGGGCGGCCAAGGCAGGCAGATCACTTGAGGCCAGGAGTTTGAGACCAGCCTGGCCAACATGGTGAAACCCTGTCTCTATCAAAAATACAAAAATTAGCCAGGTGTGGTGGTGCAAACCTGTAGTCCCAGCTATTTGGATGGCTGAAGCACAAGAATCGCTTGAACCCAGGAGGCGGAGGTCGTAGTGAGCCAAGATCACGCCACTGTACTCCAGCCTGGGCAACAGAGTGAAACTCTGTCTCAAAAAAAAAAAAGAAAAAAGAAAAAAGAAAGGAAAAAAGTTGTCATTGATCTAATGGACAAGTTAAAAACTGGTAAAAACTGGTAGTTAAAAACTAGCTGCTTGTTCTCATGGCTTCCAAACGATCAATCTTAATCTGTTTTTGGGAGGATGTAAACATTTTATTCTTTGTGCCCCCTTTTGGTCCTCTATGATATGTTAGGACAGTGGCTCTGTAGAAGCATTTGAGACTGAACAACAGACATCAGACAACTATTTTGTTAACCCAGGTACAATACGAAGTGTTAGCACTGGTACATATACCTCTCTGGTTGGAAAAAGAAAAGAATTCATGGCTATTTTATTACCTATAACTACTTTGGTTCTATGGTTTGAATGTGTCCCCTCCAAAATTCATGTTGAAACTTAATTCTTACTCTGGTGGTATTAAATGGGGGGCCTTTAGGGCCTCTGGGGAAGTGGTATTAAGTGGGGGGCCTTTGGGGCTCTGCCTTCATGAATGGAGTAGTGCCTCATTAAAGGGCTGGAGGGAACTAACTTGGGCCATTTTGCCTTTCTGCCTTCCACCATGTGAGGACATAGCATTCAGCTCCTCTGGAGGAAACAGCACCAAGGTGCCATCTTAGAAACAGGGAACGGGGTCCTCACTTGACATCAAATCTGTAAGCACCTTGATCTTGGACTTCCCAGCCTCCCAAACTGTAAGAAATAAATGTCTGTTCTTTATAAATTACTCAGTCTCAACTGTTTTGTTATAGCAGCAGAAACAGACTAAGGTGACGCTTGGTTGTGAAAAATTTAAGTTGTTTGCTGTGTCTCCAAGGGTTGGGCTTTGTTATTTACTGGGTCAGCTAAAGTGAGAGAACACATTTTTGGTGGTCTCCTCAAGTTGTCAAACTCCTATGGGATAGGTCACTATCCATAGGAGTTGATGTGGTTTGGCTCTGTGTCCCCACCCAAATCTCATGTTGAATTGTAATTCCCAGTGTTGGAGGAGGAGGGGCCTGGTGGAAGGTGATTGGATTATGGGGGCAGTTTTCCCCCTTGCTGTTCTTGTCATAGTGAGTGACTTCTCACAAGATCTGGTTGTTTAAAAGTGTGTATTACCTCTTTGTTCACTTGCTCTCTCCTGCTGCCACGTGAAGATGTGCTTGCTTCCCCTTTGCCCTTCCACCATGATTATAAGTTGCCTGAGGCCTCCCCAGCCATGCCTACTGTACATCCTGTGGAACTGTGAGTCAATTAAGCCTCATTATAAATTACCCTGTCTCAGGTCTGTATAGCAGTGTGGGAATGGACTAATACAGGAGTCTCTCCAAAAAGGGATTTATCCCTTTGGACTCTTTAAGATATATAGTCAGTTGAGGGTATTGGGGAATTATAACTTTAAAACAGCCTAACCAGGAGCCCCCCAGAATAATTAACCTTGATCCAGGGTTGGCACTGAAAACCTTGGTAGTGAATTCCACAAAGGAAAAAGATCCCAGTTACTAGACAAGGGAGATGATCAACCTTAATGGATTGTAAATGTATTACCACTTATGTTGTCATGACAGTCACAGTTATATGCCAAGAATATTTATATCCTCCTTTTCCAAAACAAGGACATTTTTCTTCACTTATGTATTGTCTTCAAAGGGTGCCATTATTGATAAAGTTAAGGTAACATACCTTTATGTTATTTTTTAGATTGGCTATACTAGATTGGGAGAAAGACATAGTTAGATTGATGATCATTTCTAGCAAAGCTTGTATTTGTTATAAGAGGTATATGATAGCTAAATCACAACTATGTATAAGCTTAAACTAGTAAAGAGAGGAGTATGACCAACAGAATAGCAGACAAAGGTATATTAAAGAGAATGTGACAGAAGAATCTTGTTCAAATGGTCTTAGGCAGAAGCCGCCTATTTTGTGTGGTTATCTGCTTGTTCTGAGACTTTTGGGTTAGCAGTCAATTTCTGCAGATCATCCGCTTCTGAAAGCCCTTCAGAGAACTTTGGGATCTCTAATGGGTATAACTTTCTGATTCTATTAAGACCTTTTCTATTTTTCCAGAGGATTGAAGTGATATGAGCAACAAGGATTCATTTAAAAAGCAAAGCTTATATAATTCAAATCATGAAAAACCATTCCAGCTTAATGTGTCCCTGTATTATTAGATAGATGTAATGTCCTTGGTGGGAAACACAAACTCAAATCCTTTTTTAGCCATTTTAAGTGCTAGCTTTTTGACAAGGGAGTGCTTCCACTCATCCAGAAAATAAATATACCATTATTACTATATATAACACACATAGAATGAAGTAGTTATATAAAATCCATTTGGATGTACTCAAAATGTCTTCTAGGATATGGTTCTACTTCATACCCACCTTTATAACTTTTCCAAATTAATTTTGTTACAGATGAGACATTATCTGGCCACATCCTTTGCCATGCTAAAAAAGTTTCTATCAGTGATGAATATTTTGGCAAATTTTTTCATACTGTGATAGGTTGTTCTATAGAGGATTTTAGCAAGTGTTTATTTGAAGGTTGTTTTTTCTCCAACTTATTTTAAGTTCAGGGGTACATGTGCAGTGTGTGCAGGTTTGTTACATAGGTAAACATGTGCCATGGTGATTTGCTGCACAGATCATCCCATCACCTAGGTATTAAGCCCAGCATCCATTAACTATTCTTCCTGATGCTCTTTCTTCCCCCACTCTGCCCCCTACAGGTTCCAGTGTGTGTTGTTGCCACTCATGTGTATGTGTTCTTATCATTCAGCTCCCACTTATAAGTGAGAACACATGCTGTTTGGTTTTCTGTTTCTGTGTTAGTTTGCTGAGGATAATGGCTTCCAACTTCATCCATGTCCCTGCAAAGGACATGATCTTATTCCTTTTCACTGCTGCATAGTATTCCATGGTGTATATGTACCACAGTTTCTTTATTGAGTCTGCTATTGATGGGCATTTAGGGTTAATTTCATGTATTTGCTATTGTGAATAGTGTTTCAGTGAACATACACGTGCATGAATCTTTATAATAGAATGATTTATATTCCTTTAGGTATATTTCCAGTAATGGGATTGCTGGGTCAAATGGTATTTCTGCCTCTAGGTCTTTAAGGAATTGCCACACTCTCTTCCACAGTGGTTGAACTATTTACATTCCCACCAACAGTGTAAATGCTTTCCTTTTTCTCCACCACCTTGCCAGCATCTGTTGTTTTTTTGACTTTTTCATAATAGCCATTCTGACTGGCATGACATGGTATCTCATTGTGGTTTGGATTTTCATTTCTTTAATGATCAGTGATGTAATGATCAGTGATGTTGAGCTTTTTTTTCATATATTTGTTGGCCACATGTATGTCTTCTTTTGCGAAGTGGCTGTTCATGTCCTTTGTCCACTTTTTAATGGGGTTGTTTTTTTCTTGTAAATTTAAGTTCCTTGTAGACTGTGGATATTAGATCTTTGTTAGAAGGATTAGACAGCAAAAATTTTCTCCCATTCTGTAGGTTGTGTGTTTACTCCAATGATAGTTTCTTTTGCTCTGCAGAAGCTCTTTGGTTTAATTAGATCCCATTTGATAATTTTTGCTTTTGTTGCAATTGCTTTTGGTGTTTCTGTCATGAAATCTTTGCCTGTGCCTATGTCCTAAATGATATTGCCCAGATTTTCTGTTAGCATTTTTATAATTTTGGGCTTTACATTTAAGTCTTTAATCCATTATGAGTTAATTTTTGTATATGGTTTAAGGAAGGGGTCCAGTTTCCATTTTTTACATATGGCTAGCCAGTTATCCCAGCACCATTTATTGAAT